AAAGTGCTTCGATTATGGCAAGCAGCCACCATCAGGCCACCAACTTTGACTAAGAGCCATTCTTTTTTCCCTAGTATTTTGAGACGAGGTTTTGTTATATGACTCAGGCTGGCTTTGAACTCTAGATCCTCATACCTTAGTCTCCTGAGTGCTGGGGTTATAGGTGTGTACCAACATTATTGTTGTTTTTTAATAAAGTTTTTACATTTATTTACTTTGTCTGTATGTGTATGGGGTAAGGATGTAGAAGGCAGAGGACAACTTTTGGGAGCTGGTTCTTGCCTTCTATACACAGGTTCCAAAGACGAGGTGTCACTGTGTAGCCCTCGCTAGCCTGAAACTCACAGTGTAAACCAGGCTGGCCTTGAACTCTTGCTTGGCTGGCTGCCTCTGCTGCTGGGATTCAAGGTGTGGGCCACTATGCCTGGTATAGATAAATCTTTTTTTTAAGAGAGGGTTTTTTTGCTATTCTGGAACTCAATCTGTAGACCAGGCTAGTCTTGAACTCATAGAGATCCACCTGCTTCTGCCTCCTGAGTGCTGGGATTAAAGGTGTGCACCACCATTGCCCAACTTAAGATAAACCTTCAAAAAAAACTTTTTTAGAACATTTTTTTTTATTTATGTGAATGCATGTTTTGCCTGCATGTGTAAAAGTGCCGCACATGCATGGCACCAACCCCTGGACTGGAGTTAGGACGTATGGCTGGGAGTCAGCAAATAGGAGAACATAGAGAACGCGGGTCCTCTGCAAAAGCAGCGAGGGCTCTGAACTGCTGAGCAATCTCTCCAATACCCAGAAATAAACAAATTTTTAGAAAGAACAATACAGGCTGGAGAGATGGCTCAGCGGTTAAGAGCATTGCCTGCTCTTCCAAAGGTCCTGAGTTCAATTCCCAGCAACCACATGATGGCTCACAACTATCTGTAATGGGGTCTGGTGCCCTCTTCTGGCCTGCAGGCATACATGCAGACATAATATTGTATATATAATAAATAAATAAGTAAATAAATAAATAAAACAATACAAACAAAAAACTGTAAAAACAAACAAAACAAAACAAACCCAGCAGCCAAGCTGGGTGTAGTAGAGCACACCAGTAATCCTAGCACTGGAAGGCAGAGGCAGGATGGATCTCTAAGCTCAGGGCAGCCTGGTCTACAGAGTGAGTTCCAGGACAACTAGAGCTACACAGAGAAAACCTGTCTTGAAAAACTAAAAATAAATAATAGTTCCAGACCAATCTGTGCTCACAGCGTGAGAAACCCAAGGAAACAAGCAGCCTCACATCCAACAAGGCGACCTCAGGGCCTTGCCTCCTTTTCTTGCACGGTTGGGGATCAAATCCAGAGCCTGTGCAACTTGTCAAGTTATTCTACCACTGAGCCTTATTCCTATCGTCCTGGTTTTGGGGTGAGGTCTTTGTTTGCTACCCTGGCTGGCCTCAAATCCCAGGGCTCATGTGATCATTTTTGAATCTCTCAAGTACCTACAGTTATAGCCCAGTGCCCATAGTAGGCTCCTAACAGCCTTTCTGCCCTATACTTTCTTCTCTTCTAACTTGCTCTGTGAGTTCTTACCCCATCCTCCTACCTCTAGATGCCTACGCCATTCCCTCCCGAGACCCAGTTCCTGCAGAAGGCTTCCCTAGACTGAGTCCTGCTGCACCCGCTGTGCTCCCATGACGCTACACAGCACGGCTCCACTGTGCTGACGTGGCCGGTTCACCCAGCTCGGCCTTCAGGGAGCACTAAGCTCCACAGGGCAGATATGCACTGGTTTTTTATGGCCTACACAAGTTTTAAAGCAGTTCTTTATAGATACAACTTAATTAAAGAGGACAGAATAAATACAACTCCTAAGTGTGGTCCAGCTTGCCTTAGGCCCATAGAAAGCACCATCTCCAGGGTTAAGGTCCCAGGGTTCTCCAAATTCCTCCAAGGCTTGTTGTAGGACCTTTAGAGGGAGCAAGATGAGAGGAGGATGAAGGAGACATTAGCAAGATAACCTGCTGGCCCATGAAAACTAACACCCAGAGCTCATGCCTTTCTCTGAAGACCTGGGCTACTCCATCCCCCTCCCCATGGCAGATTGGTTTATCTGTTTGGTTTCCCTTTCTCCTACTCACCTGCTCAGCCTGGTCCCACAGGTGAGGTTCCCCTAGGAAGCCAGACGGCCGGGTAGATAAAGCCAGGCGGAAGGAAAAACCAAGAACAGCATAAACAGATCGGAGAAAATCAAGGCAGCCTCGGATCTCTGCTTCCAGCTAGAAAAAGGAAGTCAGGATGTCAGCTAGATGCCAGTTGGAAATCTGAGGTGATAGGTAGTTCTAGGGAAGACAGGGCAGGGGTGAGGTAGCGGTGGTGGGCCGAGACCAGAGGGCTAGCTATACTACAGTATAGAAAGGGCACCTGAAGCCTATGGATGCGGCTCGGTTGGTATACCGCCCGGCTAGCACGCACCATTTCTAGCACTGTATAAACCAGGCATGGAAAAGGCAGAGGAAGTTAACACATTTGAAGAACAAGGAGTCACCTGATTTGGTGCACAGAAGATGTGAGCATCGTCCTGTTGGAAGCGCCATAGCCGCGTCAATCCTCCCAGACCGCCAGAGGCCTCAGCGCGATGCAAGACTCCAAAATCAGCCAGTCGCACAGGTAGTTCCCGCCATGATCTGGGCCGGTGGGCGAACATGAGGCTGAAGTTGGGATGGGAAAAAGTTAGGGCCAAAGGAAAAAGGAGCCATGGCTAACTGTGCCTTTTCCTACTCATTTTTTTTGAGACAAGGTCTTAATATGCAGCCCTGGCTGGCCTAGAACTTGCTGTGTGGCGTAGGCTGGCCTTTGCCTCTCCAGCCTGAGACTGCTGCTGTCTACAGTGCTCGCCCTTCCCCCTGCACACTCTCCCACTGGGTCCTGCCAATCCTATCCTGAGCGTCTGGTCAACAGCCGCATTTCGGCAGGGCATGGTGGTGCATGCCTTAACACCACCAGGCAGAGACAAGCGGGTCTCTAAGTGTGAGGCCAGCCTGGTCTATGTAGTGAGTCTGGGGCCAGCCAGGGCTGCACAGTCAGACCCTGTCTAGAAGAAGATGAAAAAAAGTTAAACTCTCAGTCACGTAAGAACAGGCATCATTTACTGTGTCCACATTCTGTGATGGGTACAGAGTCTCAATATTGCTAATGAAAAAAGGCCCAAGAAATGGAATAGTTTCCCAAAATTCACTTGGGTAAATACTGAATCTACCTGTAGTAGATTCAAGACCCAAATGAGATGCCCCGAAATTCTTTCCAAGATACTTTATATTACTTTACATTTTTGTGACCTGTTATCCCAGTCCCTGGAGGAGCCAGGCTTCCTGGCTCCCAACTCACCAGTGTGCAGGGCAATTCATGGGCTTGAGAGCAAGTGTGTCTTTGGGACACCTGGCAGGGTGGCCACTCTGAGAGCTGTCGGGACCATTAGTGCCTGGGGGCTTCAGGGAAAACATGTCCGCCCTATAATGCTCCCAATGCCCTGACTGTTCCCAGAGTTTTGTAGAAAACAGCGTGGGAGTTTTCACCTCTGAGAAACCACGACGTGCGTATTCAGCCTGAAAAAGTGAACACAGACACCAAAAGTCAGTGTTACTGAGAGGAGAGGAAACACGAGTTTTGTGATTCTCTCGGGGACTCAGACCACGCTGGCCACAGCCACAAGCGATTAAACACCATGCAGACCCTTTAAGCTGCCTCCCTGCAGACCACACAACAGTTAATACCTTGTTCAAAGTCAGCAGAACGTTACAGGTTTACACTCTTTTCCTTTGAGACAGGATCTTGCTATGCGACCCAGGCTGTCCTCAAACTCATGATCCTCTGCTTAGTCTCTGTCCAGGACTACAGGCGCATGCCTGAGCCAAACTCAAAGACCTTGGTTTCCTCTAGGCCCCACATGGCTTTCGTCTGCACATGAGCTCCGCTTACCCTGATGAAAGCCACCAGGGCATTATAGACTCTTGTCCCGCGCGGCAGGAAAAAGCAGCTCCCAGGGCTCAGTTCATGGAAGAAGAAGAGCTCCTGTTCCTAGGGAAAGGATATTACCTGTCACTCAAAGAGGGGAGGGCTTTGGAACTAAAGGAGCAAATGACAGAGCTGCTCCCTGCATTGACTGAATCTTTGGGCAAATTCACAATCACATTCTTTGGTCAGGTTTGGTTGTTTGAGCCTGTAATCCCAGTATTTGGGATGTAGAGGCAGGGGGGTTAGGAGTTTAGTTCATTCTTGGCTACAGCGGGAGGCCAGCAAGGCTACATGAGACTGTCTAGAGAAATAAAAACTGAAACAAAAATCAAGACAAAACCAACAAAAAGCTCCCATCACATCCCTTCACCTTGCACCATCACCATCCTCCCCTCTTCTGTGCTCTGTACCTTCCCGATACGTCTGTGGTCTCTCAACTCCGCTTCCTCCCTCCAGGCTTCCCAGCTCCTCAGTAACTCTGCCTTGGGGAAAGAAATTCCCGACACTCTCTGCAGTGTCTCTGGAGCTCCTGAGGACTTCCACACGGCTGAGGAGTTCTGTGAGAGGCAGAGGATATCAAAAAGAAGATGAAAAGGACCGGAGACACCAACCTTCTGTCAAATCTCTGATGCTCTTGCTCTTGGGTCAGAGGTGATCACCTGAAGGCCAGTTCACCTCCAAGTGCTTTCCTCCCACCAGCACCCACAGAAGGGCGTCTCCATCCTGTGGTGACCTGGGTCGTATCTTCTATGCACCCTGGTCAGCTGCGATCTCACACTGCATTTCTCCTCTACATTCTCACTGTCCCACCAGCACCTTACAGTAGGCTCCCCCTCCTAATAAATCACTGCTTAGGAGAAAAACTAAATGTCCGTCTGTCTGCTTTTCCTGATCAGTACTCCAGACAGCTGCTAGAGAAGTCAGACTTCCACACCCATCTACGCCGTATGAAATTCAATGCCCCTGCTTGCGCTTCAACAGTGTTAATAAGAACCTTGGCTGTTGTTTTTAACACAGGGCCTCAGGTAGTCAAAGGTGACCCTAGATGTGCTCTGTACCTTCCCGATACGTCTAGATGTGATGTAACACTCAAGGATAACCCTCAATTCCTAATCTTACTGCCTCCATTTCCCAAGTGCTGTGATCACAGGCATGTATTAGCATGTCTAGTTTGAAAGAACCAACAATTTATAGCCTTTTTCTTTTCTTTTTTTAAAATATCTTTTATGGTTTATTTAACTTTATTTTATACGCATTGGTGTGAAGGTGTCAGATCCCCTGCAATTGGATCTTCAGACAGTTGTGAGCTGCCATTTGGGTGCTGGGAATTGAACCCGGATCCTCTGGAAGAGCAGTCAGTTCTCTTAACCACTGAGCCATCTCTCCAGCCCCTATAGCCTTTTTCTTGAACACTGTCCTGAGCTAGCTGACTTTGTTTCTATGGTGTGGCTGTACCAGTGGTACAGGAATAGTCAGTCTCATTTCACAGATAGGAGCAGCAGGTAAGGAGATTTGGCTAACACCACACATCTCACTAGTAGCAGAATAAGATCACGTACATGACTAAGTTTTCAGGAGTTTTTTTCTACACATCTGCCTGTCTCTTGCTACCTTCCATCCCATGCAGTACCACGATGTGTAGGAACAGCACTTCATGGAATGCCCTTGCCTTGGGTGATCTCCCTGGTATCTGTCAAACAGAAGCACCTGTTCTCCTGGACATGGTCCTTCTCGACACATGCCTTCCTCATATGACCCCATCACGATCTTGCTTCATTTCCCTTATTCCAGACCCAGACTAGGGAGTCTAAATTGAATTCTGGACCCTGCCATGAAACCTTGAGATTCCAGAATGGAGGAACCCGTCTTCCTCCTAGATTCCCTTATAGCCATCAAGCGGAGAAGGGGGCAGAGGGCTTTCTTTCGGCTCTGCAGCACTCTCCCGAGAAAGCAGGGCATCTAATCACATGGTCAGCTCACCGCCAGCAGCTTCAGAGCTCCAATCTGTCCAGCGTGCCGCAGATGGGGGCCCCGGCAAAGATCCACCGACATACCACACCTGAGACAGAGAGGCCTCTTAGTGCTTTCCAGGTTCTCCTGTTCAGTTTAGTTCAGCTTCAACTGACAGAAGGGGTGTTGATACAGAAGCTGTTTTGCCAACAGAGAGTAAAAGCAAATTCCTCTTCCCACTTCTTTTTCTAGAGCAACACAGATTGCCAGCCACCACCCTTCCTTTAGTCCAGTTCTTTGCTCTTGACAAGGCTCACCCATACACTGTTGCTGTTGGGCCTGTCACTTTCTCCTCGATCAGATGAAGCTTGAAGTGGTTATCCTAGAGGTAGGCAGAAAGGCGTGTGGAGCTACAAGGGCATCCTGGAGCCATCCTTCCCTTCAAGTCTCACCAAACTCCTCTCCTCACTGCCAACTCACCTTGAAGAGCTGCCGAAGCTGATCCCGGGAAGCCTCTAGCCTCCGGAACGGCGGTGCTGCAGCTATGATCTCCTGGCAAATCCGTTCTAAAAGGGGCAACTCTGAGCTCCGGACTGTCCTGGAAAAGGGTATTGTTGACCTGCTTCTTCAGAGACAACCCCTGAGTCATGACACATTAGCTAAGGAGTAAAGTTCTGCCCTTTGACGAAGAAATCTATAATTAACTGGCAAAGACAAACTCAGAAAAAAACAAATTGGAAATTATGTATAGTTTTTGTTTGTTGGATTGTTTTTTAAGACAGGGTTTCTCTTTGTGGCCCTGGCCATCTTGGAACTCACTCTGTAGACCAGGTTGGCTTTGAACTCACAGAGATCAGCCTGCCTCTGCCTCCTGAGTGCTGGGATGGAAGGTGTGCACCAGAACAATTTTGTGTGTGTATGGTGCTGAGGATTGAACCCTGGTCTGTGATCATGCTAGGCAAGCACTCTATAGGCAAGACAGGAGGATCATGAGTTCAAGACCAGCCTGGGCTAAAAATGAGAAAGGGAGAGAGAAGGAGCAGAAAGACAGTGTGTGCTGAAGGAAGGAAAGCCAGAGGAATGAGACCACATAGTAATAAACTCCCACGGACTGGAAGAGGGGGGTTCCAGCAGAGTCAGAATATGAACCTGCTGGAGCTTCTCCTCGAAACTGCACTTGCTCTGAGACCCCGGAAACCACCCCAGAATCAATCCCCTTCCTTGGACGGCTCACCTCTCTTTTCCCAGGAAGAAATCATGGTAAAAGCCAGATTCTGTACTTGGACCTCGGCAGAGAACAGCACCCAGTTGTTGCTCAGCTGCTGCGCCCAGAATGTGGGCACTAGAGTGCCAGAATACCTGGAGGGACAGGACCAAAACGAGCTCAGCAACTGCTGGCTACGTCCTGGCTCTGCTACCTTCCTTGGAGCTGGCTGAGAAGCTGCAGCACTTGTCTTTTAAGATTGCCTGCTGCAGCCGGGCAACAGTGGTGGCGCCCGCCTTTAATCCCAGCACTCAGGAGGCAGAGGCAGGCGGATCTCTGTGAGTTCGAGACTAGCCTGGTCTAGAAGAGCTAGTTCCAGGACAGGAACCAAAAGCTACGGAGAAGCCCTGTCTCGGAAAAAAAAAAAAAAAAAAAAAAAAAAAAGATTGCCTGCTGCAAAATGGAGAGTCTAGGTTTCTGAGAGTGACTTCTGCACAGTAAACAGTTGTCTAAAGGGGGCTGGAGAGGCGCTCCAATGCTCAAGGACGCTATTCCTGCAGGTGAAGCAGATTTGTGTCCCAGCACCCAGATCGTGGCTCACAGTCACCTGTAACTCTGACTTCAGGGGATCTGACACTCTCTTCTAGACTCCATGGGCACATAGATAGACATGTACAAACACACAGAAAATCTTTCTTTTCTTTAAAGCAGAGAGCCAGTGTCGTCTCTTCTGCTGCTGGGTGGAAGTGAAGATACAACCCACACATCTTCAGTGTTCCTGGGCCAGGGGTACAGAAACAGGAGGCCAGTGCCTCCTGCTTTAGAGCTTCCTGATATAGTACTTAAAAAGAATGTGGTTCCTGACTGGCTGTGCTGGCACACGTAGACAGAAAGCTATGGTTGGCGTCTGCTGTCACTGTTGCTTGTGTGTGTGTCGCTACAATCCAGGGCTTCATCCATTCGCCACCCGCAGCTTCTGCTTTGCCTTCTGGTCCAGAAATCTAGTGTGATGGAACTATTCTTGGATTTGTTCACTATCCACATTTGGATGACAAAAGAAATACATTTTTCTGGATCCTAATTAGCAAGCTCTGTGCTACCTGAGCTGACACGGAATGAACAAAGCACCGAGGTTTTGTGCTCAGTCATGGAACCCCATGAGAACTGAGCACACATCACGGGTGACTTGCACTGTGTGTACGCAAGAATTGCGGAGATTGAAAAGGCACGTTACCCTTCTGCTTCTCAGCTCATTCTCTCCCTTTCACTAGCACACAAGCTGTTTGATCAACAGAACAATGCTAAGTAAATGCCTTCATCAAGGCTTCCAGCTTTGATCAGATGGTGAATATAGTCTGTGGCATGTCTCCTCAGTTGCAAACTGAGAAACTGAGGCAAAAAAAAAATTAGAATTTCGCTAGGTGGTGGTGGAGCAGGCCTTTAATCCCAGCACTGCGGAGGCAGAAGCAGGCAGATCTCTGTGAGTTCAAGGTTAGCCTGCTCTACAGAGTGAGTTCCAGGACAGTCAAGGTTACACAGAGAAACTCTATCCTGAAAAAGCCAAAATACATAAATAAAAATTAGAATTTCCAGTTTAAAGATCGTTTAGCTAATTAGGTTCTGTTCTTGTTATGTGGAGGAAACTTACCGCTTTGCCTTCTGGGGAATCAAAGGTCAGGAATCTGAGGTGGCAGTCTGTCTCCAAGGGCCGCTCCAGGTCATAGAGCTCTCCATCTACTTCAGCAGCCACAGCGGTGTCGGCCAGTGTGGAGCTGCGGCAGGCAGGCGAGGGCAGGAACGATGGGGAAGAGTGAGGTCACAGCCCACAAGGACAAGAGGCAGCTACCTCAGGAGTTCTGTGTTTGTCAAGTGGAAATGAGCTTCCAGAACAATAAAACTTACTATTCCTTTGCTCAATGGATAACAGAAGGACAGAGACTCTGAAACTACAAAGATAAATTATCAAGGACCCCCCCCCCCCTTTAAAGATAGATCTTGTTATATGGTCCAGGCTGGCCTTGAATTCTGAATCTTTTGTCTCCACTGTCTGAATGTGAAGATTATGGGCCTCTACCACCAAATTTGGCAAGAAAGGCTATTCGGGTATAGTGGCTCACACCTGTAATCCAGCACTTGGGAGGCTTAAGCAGGAAGATTTTCATAAACTCAAGGCCAGCCAAGACTACAGTAAACACAGCACTGAGTCACCATGAGGTGTGGCTGGGTCTCACTACTCTTCTGTAGACAGTAAGCACGCTTTCACTAATTTCCACAACAATTTAGCAGCCTGGCCTTGCCCCTTCTCTCCTCTTTCTCTTCAGGCAGCCGCTAAGATTTACAGCTTGACTGCCCTACAGGTAGGTTCTCTTTCTCTCTCTCTCTCTCTTCCTTTTAGTTTTTCGAGACAGGGTTTCTGTGTGTAGCTTTGGAGCCTGTCCTGGAACTAGCTCTTGTAGACGAGGCTGGCCTCGAACTCACAGAGATCCACCTACCTCTGCCTCCCAAGTGCTGGAATTAAAGTCATGTGCCACCACTGTCTGTCTGGCTTTATTCATATTTTGAGACAGGATTTCTCTGCATACTCTTGGCTGTCCTGGAACTTGCTCTGTAGACCAGACTGACCTCAAACTCACAGGGATCCACCTGCCTCTGCCTCCCAAGTGCTGGGATTAAAGAACTGTGCCACCACTGCAAGGTGGGAGGTTTTTTTCTTTAAGTCAAATAAAACTGTCCTTGAACTTGAAAAAAAAAAAGCATGGGTAGAAGACCTAAGTCAGTCTGTAGAAAGCTTGCTTGCGTGCAAACAGACCTGGGTTTGGTCCCCAGTCTTCTGTCAACTAGAAATGGTGGTGTACACCTCTAATGTCAGAACTCAGGAAGTGGAGGCAGAAGAGTCGACAGCTCACACATGGAGCCCGAGCATGTCTGTAAGGGGTAAGGATGCTGTTGTCATGTCTGATGAAGATAAGAACTTCCTCCCGAAAGCTGTTCTTTATCCTCCACTGTGCACTGGGTCATGCATGTGTGTGGGCATGCACAGGCAACATGTGTGAGCGCGAGGACAGGGAACATACTAAATACAAAATAAAATAAAATCTTTTTTTTTTTTTTTTTTTTGGATTTTTCGAGACAGGGTTTCTCTGTGGTTTTGGAGCCTGTCCTGGAACTAGACCAGGCTGGCCTCGAACTCACAGAGATCCGCCTGTCTCTGCCTCCCGAGTGCTGGGATTAAAGGCTTGTGCCACCACCGCCTGGCAATAAGTAAATTCTTTATGAAAAAATTTTGGAGACAGGCTCTCTATACAGCCCAGGTTGCCTGGAATTCATGGTATCCAGGAGGCTGGCCTTGTATTAAAGACCCACCTGCCCCGTGGATGCTGGGATAAAAGATGCTTCTTGGGGGAGGGGGGGTGTATTCTTCCCTGGGAGCCATTAACCATGTTTTTAGAAACAGAGTCTCTCATTGGCAAAGGAGCTCCCCCAGCAGGGTGGGCGGCTGGCCAGACAGTAAAGGAATCTGTTGGGATTACAAGAACATGTCACCACATCCACACTTTTTATTTTTAAACTTAAAATACTATTTCATTTATGGGGGGGGCATATGCTCCAGGCCCTTATGCTTGTGTGACAATCACTTGGATGACTTTACCTGCTCTCCCTGACCAAAGACTACCCTTTTTGATAGGAAACAAAGAAAAAGAAAAAACAAAACAAAACTGTTTTCTTTCCCTGACCAGGTGCTGAGAAAATAATGGACAGAAAAAATAATTCTTGTAAGTAGAGGATGGCTTGATACCTGATCTGCTGGGCTAGTTGGTAAGGGGTTGTGTTCCACGCAACAGCATCTACCTTCCGGCCTTCAGGAAGTGATATCTTAATAGCCCGGGCTTTCTTCTGGGTCACACTCGCTAACCTTTTCACCTGAGCGGCCCACAGCTCCTCAAAGAGGGCAAACCGCTCTGCCAGCCAATGGGGAGGAGTCAGCACAGAGGCCTGAGGAGAAAGGCACAAATTAGGAGGTTATTTCTGGCCGTATTTCCACTACTCCGCAAAGGGGGCGGTGGGGGTTGTCGATGTTTAAGTTCACAGTAGGAGTCAGGTTGGGGATTCAAGGGGACCGCACATTTCAGAGTGGGGCAGCAGGGTATGGGGAGGCTGGACAGCCTGCACTTTGGACTCTGCTGAGCTGAACGGTTAGGAGCTTTGCGTACCTCATGCACTGTGTGCAGCTCGCAGCCGCGGAACCCCGGCAGCGGGAGCCCGAGCCGGCGCCACCTCAGACAGAGAGCCATGCTGCCTCAAGTCGGTGCCTCCATGCTCAGATCACCGCTTCTTTCTCACCAGAGTCCTCATTGGCGTCGGAGCCAACAATATCCCCTCCTATTGGATAAAGCAGCCGCCACTCGGTCAGGTACCACCCCCAGGATATCCGCCGAGGCACGTCCCACACTGCAGCAGTCGTCCGGGAAAGGTTCCGGTTGACCGGAAGGTGGAAGCTGTGCACATACCTGATGCCCAAAGTGACAGGAAGGTGCCCAACTTTTAGGACAAGGGCCGACCTCCTGAGAGCAAGAGTGAGAGAAAAACAGGAGTGGAAATTAGTCATTTTCCTTTAATCATAAATTTTTAAACATCCGTAAAGCAAGAAGGAAACAAGAGTACAGACACTAGAATTAAACATCTAGTGTAAATCCTGGAACTGGTACTAAGTAGTTTTTGGTGAACTGTTTCTGTAATCTCGATTTTCTCATCTATAAAGCTAGAGGAAAAATATCCAGCCCAGCTGGGTGGTGGTGGCACACTCCTTTGAGAACAGCTTGGTCTACAAAGCGAGTTCCAGGACAGCAACCCTGTCAGGGGCGGGGGAGTATCTGTTCCAGTTGTTGAGGTACACCTGATGTAAATAGTTAAACTCTCAATGTTTGGTATGCCATAAGAGGCACCAGCAGCAAAATGCTGCTATTACCATTGTATATAACAACTCTAAGACTGGAACAATCGGTGGAGGCCATTCCTTGGGCCCTTCCTAGTCATTCGTGGTGGAGGGACTTTAAGACACAGCTAGATGTGAATTTTAATTTGTCATTGTTGTGTGTGTATGAAGTATGTTTGTGGGCACAGGCAGCACAGCTGTGGAGGCCAGATGCCATCCTCCTGGAGGCAGCTCTGTACTTTCACATCATGTGGGTTCTAGGAATAGAACTTAGGTTGCCAGGTTTGGGCAGCAGGTGCCTTTATCTGATGAGCCATCTTACTGGTCCCAGAAATGGAATTTGAAAAATCACAGAAGATAGTTTAAGGTCAAAAAGTGCTGATGACCTGGGCGGTGTTGGTGCAGGCCTTTAATCTCAGCACTACGGAGACAAAGGCAGGTGGATCTCAATGAGTTCGAGGCCAGCTTGGTCTACAAAGTGAGTTCCAGGACAGCCAGGACAGTTCCACACAGAAACCCTGCCTCAAAAAAAAAAAAAAAAAAATTAAAAAAAAAATAAGGTGCTGATGAATTTCAGGTTTGCACGCTTCCAGCATTCCATGTCCTTCCTCTAGCTGACCCCCTGATCACCTTAGAGGCATTTCTCTGTTCCTCACCTAAGCTTTGTGCCTTTCATTACTACTCCAGCCTTCATCTTCCTTTATCTTTTATTCTTCTCCATTCAATCTAGGATACAGGGCTAGCTATATTTAGTTAGCTTTATACAGTAAAAACAGAAACATGGTCAGATGTGTGGAGAAGCATAAAGGGAAGGGAACTTGTTAGCGCCTGTTAGGGTTCAGGGTTCAATTAGTCCCCTCACCTGGGGGTAAGGATGCTTAGTCCATTCCCAGACTGCAGTGGTGAGAGGATCAAGGGGTCTTGTGGAAGAGTTGTCAGAAAAAGCTGCTTAACTTAGGCTTCCAGAGAGGCCCAAAGTTCTGTCTGGGGATGACAGCTGACTTGCGTCATAGCCCACTCTGGGGCTCCATCTTCTGATATCTTAGACATCCTGAAATACAAAGAAAGAGACACGGCTGTAGAGATTTTGAGTGTGCATTCTTGTGGTGAGAGCACAGTGTTTTAAGTAGCATTCAGAAAGGATGGCAATGGCAGACCAAGGTTTTCTTGTGACGCTGTATCAGAGACAGGCAACAAAATGGTAGACACTCAAAAATCACTGAGTTAAGTATGTACTGGTCACACACTGACTGGAAACTCTACCTTTTGACATTAAAAAAAAATTATTCCACTGTGTCCTTTTGCTAGGATCACAGAGAGATGCCACCCTGGATGACAGCTCCTTATACTCATCCTTCAACATTTATTATGTGCAATGCACTGGGTAGGTGTTGATCCATCAGCTACCATATCATCACATATGTAACTTGTGCTGCAGTGGAGGAAGGAATGTCTTATTCCCTTGCCCACTGGAGCAAACCAGACAGCTAAGACTAATGCATTAATCAATGATTCTCCCAGTACATGTCTTGGCTTCTTTAGTCTACCTGAAAAAATATCTCTGAAACTTTTTTTGCCCACCCCACTCATGCCTGAGTCCTGGGGTGCATCACTATCTCATCATTTCATCTCATGCCTAGAACTCAGTCTAGTGTTCTTATGCTTCCTTTAAACCATGGGAAATGATCCCATGGCCAAATCCTAGTCTGTCCAAACCCAAGACCGGGCTTGCTCACACATCCACAATGACACCCTAAGTAAAGCCAGATTACTCATAATGGATCGTGCTTGCTAACATGGACTTGCTTCCTTTTCTTTCAAACATCATGACTCAGATGTTTGTGGCCAAAAAGTCTTTTAGAGTGAAGAGTTTCAAGAAAGTCAAAAAAGGTGATGCTTCCCGACTTGCCTCTATGGTTGCAGAAAATGAATAAACGAGAGTCACAAAAGTGTAAGGAAAGTCTGCAATGAAGGATGTTTTAGATCCTTAATCAAATTTTAGGAATTTCTCTTCTACTCTTAGACCAGGCTTCAATTAAAGTATTAAAAAGAAAAAAAAAAAAAAAACGAAGGGATCCTCACGTGGCTTAAGTTTTGGTAAAAGAGTTTGTCTTTCTAGGTTTAAGCCACTAGAAGCTATCTCCAATGAGCGGCTTTTTCATCCACTGGGATCAGTGTATAGCCCTCAAATCCATTTTAGCTCCGGGACACGGCCTGAGCCTCACAAACCACTCTTACAGCTCTTTAAGCAAATGCTGGGAAGTCAAGTTTAGACAGAGGATTCGCTAGTAATGTGGAAGGTCTAACATGGGACCAATTTTATACTTTACTAACCTCTATTGTCCTTGGCAAGGACTAACTGCTCATGTAGACGCAAAGGGCTCTACCATATGAAAGCGGGCGGGGGAGCACAACTGGATGTTGTCAATATCCTTTCTTCCCATTTTCACAGATGGCCCAAGAAAAACAGAACCGTCAGGTCCTTTCTTTTCCACAGATCAAACGTCAAAGGACTTGACCATGTTACAAATACAAGAGAATACAATAAGAAACAAAAATTTGGAGAACACTTAGTCTGCCATAAACCCAAACAAGTCCAAGGTAGACTGGGTTAGCAACATCCTTTTGAGTCAAACATGAACAGACGATGTTTTCGCTTCTCAGGTGGCACCACAGATCTCCCTATGCCTCCACCCAGAGGCTCCGGCCTAGGTGAGAACAAAAGGACTAGGAAACAAACAAAAAAGGGGAGAGGCTGGGATTACTGATTCGTGCTCTGTATGTATGAGGTCCTGAGCTTGATTCCAAGCATATGAGCACGCATGTGGAGATGCAAACCAAAAAAAAAAAAAAAAAAAAAAAAAAAAAAAAAAAAAAAAAAAACCAAAAAAAAAAAAAAAAGAGACCTCATTAAATCCCCTTTGTTCCTAGACCAGGGCCTTTTATTTTTTTTAATTTTGGTTTTTCGAGACAGGGTTTCTCTGTGGCTTTGGAGCCTGTCCTGGAACTAGCTCTGTAGACCACGCTGGTCTCGAACTCAGAGATCCGCCTGCCTCTGCCTCCCGAGTGCTGGGATTAAAGACGTGCGCCACCATCGCCTGGCTTACCAGGGCCTTTTAAATGTTAAGCACGTGCTCTACTGCAAATTAGTCCCCTTCCACCCCCACAAAAACAAAACAAAAGCAACTTTCTAACTAAGGAAAGCGTTCCTCTGTTCACAGGTTGACTGGGACCTCTACCTTTGTATCTCTTCTTCCTTTCCCTTGTCATGTTCTCCTCATCTGCACAGAAACAGGTGCTTGAGACAGTTTACAGGTGATCTTCTAGAAGACTTGTCTTTACCGCCTCAGTGAGTTACTCCTCAGCAATTGTGAACAGCAACTGATCAGATTTGTCTATAGTTACTCATGAGCAAGAATGAGAAACACCCTAATATCCCCAAACCCATTCTGATGATGTTACTAAGTCTCCAAACAAGAGGAGGTAACTCATTCCTGTTGTGTAAGATTGGTCCGAATATACCAGGTGGTAGTGGCATACGCTTTTATTCCCAGCACTCAGGAGGCAGAGGCAGGCAGATGTCTCTGAGTTACAGGCCAGCCTGGTAAAAGAACTAGTTCCAGGACAGGCTCCAAAACTATAGAGAAACCTTGTCTCGAAAAACCAAAATAAGAAAAAAAAAATTGATTGGCCCAAATAGAATAAAACAAACTGGAGGAGGGGAGCAGAAGCCACGTAGTTTTCACCAACATGCCCAGAGGCCAAGGCAGAAGTCTAAAAGATGTTGCTCCTTCAGGTGCAGACTTTCAGCGACCAGCTGAGCTTTAGTGGAGACAAGGAAGCAAAGGTGAGTCAGACTCCAGAGTCAGTGTAGTGGTACGCCCATGGGAACTGGGTGTGCTCCCTAGACTGCTGCCACTTCTGAGGTCTTGTGACACAGGGAGCTTCACGAAATCAGGGCTGCTATTCAGAGCCTTCTACCCTGCCAGTGACCCAAGCCTGGCCCAGATGTAGTGACTATCCTGTGTGATCCCTTTAAGCCAGCATTCCATTTATTAAGCCTCACTGGGTTATGAAAAAGGATGGAGTAAGAGAGGCTACGTATGAGTTCTACATGACAGGTCAATCACCCATGTCACCAGGACAGATACAGATGACCAAAAGGACTCTTTCCCACACATTGCCCTCAACTCTATGCTTGCTTTAAAATGTTCCCTATAGTTAGAGATGTCCTTCAATGGTCCGTGCTTGCTTATAATGCACAAGCCGTGGGTTTGATGCTTAGCACCGCAAGCCTGACAACCAAAACATCACCTTTTCCCCTTGGTTCACAGATGTACAATATTTGGAAAACACACATATAATCTATACAGTATAACCCACTTCACTTATCGAGCACTCCCTGAGCACCCTGACCGCATCCCACCCATTACAATGCAGAGGACCAAATAGAACACCGAGGAGGCCATGAAGATCTTACAGATTCAGCACAAGTCTAAAGAGGACAGATGGAAAAGTTCAATATAAAAGGGGAAAAGTTAACCACACAACAGAGAAAACCACATTTTATTAAACTGGAAAACAATATTGGAGGCAATTTCCCCCCCCCAAAAGCTGGGAAAGGTTAAGTGCAAGTGGCTATGGAGAGAACGAACAGGTGGTCTGTGCACACATGCCGTGTGTGTGGGTACACATGCCACTTTCTGTCCTTTCCCATATACCCCAGACGGCATCTTCAGGGCTACCTCCAGCTTTTCTTTCTCCATTCTGTAGCCTGTTTCTCCTTTGACCCTGGAAAGTCACGCCGCATCTTCGATGGAGGAAATTTAGCATCTTTAACCACAGGTCTGTGATACAAAAGTTGCACTTTTGGCTCTTGAGAAGTCGTTTCTGTTTGCATTCACCAGAGCAGCCAGGGGCCCTTGGTCAAAGCCCAAATCTCAGAAAAATGTCAAACCTTTAGAACTGTTATTTTATTAAATGATAGTAATACACATTCCAAAAGGATTTCATTGTTCTTGCCTCTAAAAGCATGTATTTGTTTTCCACACTGAACACGTGAGAGTATCAATCCAACATATCTATTTTTCCCCCTAAATCTTAACAGGTTACCCCACCAATTAAAAATATGGAGGTGGGGGAGGGAGCAGTAATTTACAGCCGATTCAAAACCTAACAGCTGAAGCCTAACTGCGTCAATGGTAATGTTATGACCGAGTGGATATTCTGCGAGAAGAAAGCTGAGCCAATTCACATTGTCTAGATAGCCTTGCTGTACCATACATAGCATATTGGTTCTGATATCAGAAAGGATCTGTCCTACACTGCCCACTGCACCCTCCAGGGAACCAACGGAGTTCTGATGACCTCCATCCTTGGGAGGGCAGAGAGGTGCAGTGAGGAGCTAACATCTAAGCTGATGTGGAGAGTGAACTCTCAGGAAACCTTTAAGGATCCTAGTTCTGATCTAGCATCTAGGAATTTTGCGTGGTATAGAGTATTCATAGAATTCTTTGTCTGTGGTTTTACAATGAGCACCAAGGACCTTAGGGACAACTACTTAATTCTGCTTCATGACTCAAGCCCTCGCTGAGACACACTATGTTGTACATTCTTTAAAAAATATCTTGTTTATTTTGTTTAAACTCAGGGGAAAATACAAAAGTCAGAGCATGGTACGAAGTTTAAATCACAGACACAGAAAGAATAAAATCCCTTGTTTTATCTTTATGAATACCAGAAATGTCTTTTGTTTCACTATATCACATATATACAGCTGTCTTCATTTACTGTTGCAGACAGATTTTCTTAAAATATCCAACAGCTTCATACAATCCTCACTTCCACCCTGAAAAACACTCAAGATTTTGTGGCAAAAACAAAAAATGTCCCACAAAAGCCCAACCCCCTGGGAGTCCACCCTTGAACTGTACAAAGTACTTGTCTCATGTATTGGCCAGTATGCGTTTGAGGACAATTGCTGCTACACTCCAGAAAACACTATCCCGGTACTCCCATGTTTTCTTAGAAAATCAAATGGTCAGAGAGCCTTTTCAAGTAAACAGTGGAAGAAAGAATTCACATTCTTTTATTCTAGACTGAAGAACATCACTTAATTTCGGGGGGGGGGGGGGGGGGGGGGGCCAGGGGGGGGGGGGGGGGAGGGGAAGGGGAGGGGAGCTGACCCTTGGAGGGCCTTCTGAGAGGGGGGGGTTTGGAATGGAGGAGGGGACCCAATCCCGAAAGTCACAATTCTCCTGCTCTCCCACCCCTGTTTGATGCTTTTTTACTAAACAAATGTCTTAGGACTGAATATAACTATATTTGCTTTGCTCTGCTATGCTACATACCCAATCCCCTCACAAGGTCATGGTATCATGCATTTTTGTGGACTGAACTACAGAAGTTGAGAAAGGAAAGAGAGCTGGATCACAAAGGGAAGTGAGGACGGTGTCTTGCACCCTTACACGGAACACAGATCCCAGACTATGGTGGACAGTTTTCTTCTGAAAGTGGTTTGTTCTGAGGCAAAGGATTGTCTTTGATCACGTGTTGCACTTTTCTCCATCTTTCCTACCCCACTGAGAAATTCAAAGCACTCCCTTGATTCCTGATAGTTCTATCCTAACTTGTCAGAATCCCTTCAAAAGCTCATCACTGTTTGACACACCTACCTGGAGATTATTAGCGTTTACCCTGGTGCAACACACCAACAGAAATTGTAGTAAGCGGTATTTGCTTCCCAGATAAAGATAAAAGCATTCCAAACACAGTGATTGTCTTTCCCCTAAGTATAAGATGCAGAAACACAAACAAGCCTTTTAATGTAAGGAAGAAAACTCTTCCCTTAGTGGCAATGACACAGGCAAAACATCTGCAAGTTGACATGGGAGGTGGGCACCGAAAACATCTAGTTACTATCTGCTGAGGGCCAACTTGGATTCAACAGGCCCCCACTTCCCCTGTAGCAAAGGCCAGCAATACCCACCTGTCTCTTCTCTGAAGGAACAAGAGCAGGGTAAAGAGAGGACTGAGACGGGGAAATTACTCTAAAGGCAAAGTACTTCCTCCGATAGTTAATGTTTGCAGAAAACCACCAGTGAGGTGGCACTGTAAAACGAACGTCTATGTAAACATTTAAGAAAGCAAGGATAATATTTTACCTACACTTGTTTAAGAATTTAGTCAGAATTAGTAACTCAGGGAGAAAAAGTCAGGGAAAACAGGGGGTAAGAGCTTAGAACAGATATGCAGACCCATCCAAACGCTTCCTTGTCTACAAAGGACAGTTGGTCACACAGCACCATTAATGATCCCTTCCCTAGTTTACATACTATGACCATTCCTCATCTTCATACTGAAATTTTATTAGGCTTCTCACTTAAGGATGAGACCTTTTCTTTCTTTTTGAGACAAAGTTCCACTATATAGCTCAAGCTGGCCTCAAACTTGCCATTCTCTCCCGTCCCTGCCTCCCTGCACTGGGACTATGGGTGTGTGCCACCACACCCAGTAAGAGAAAACTTTCTTCTACCTAGACTGAAGTTTGTACTGCCTAGATTCACTGCCTGGTAATAGTGCAGAGGAGAATGCTTAAAAAAAAAAAAAAAAAACAAAAGATAAAGAACTCCGTCTCAACATGCCTTTAAAATAAAGCAAATACACCTGGCAGGCCTAAAATTGCCCACATTTTGTCCTTCTGCAAATACCTCTTGGCCTTCAGCAGGGCAAAGCATACAAAGGGAGAAAATCCGGTCCCAGAAGTTGCTTAGCTGGAGGGGGAAGGAGACAGAGATCCTCCCACCACTATTAGCAAGTTCAACCCCCAAATGACACCCCAACATTGCACGTTATTACCTGTACTGACCGAAGTTTTATTTCAAATGTAAGTTATATTTCCAATAGAAATGGGATAAAATATTGTTCTCCTCCCTACTCCCCAAACCCACAGTCAAATGAAGTGGACTTAGTTATGTTTACTTTTTTTTTTTTTAAGAAAGGGGGAAAATGCAAGTAATTTGGGAAAGGTCCTAAGTGCACGGCCACCATGTATGCTTTTTGAATTTGGAAGGGAGGCCCTTCATTAAAAACAAACAAACAAACAAACAAAAAATTCAAGAGAGGAAACAAAAACAAGAAACCAAACTACTACTTCCAATGCTCTCTAGACTGTTCAAAATGCCTTCCCTGATTTCCATTAGTACCTGGGAGGGAAGAATGGGCGTTTTGGTGCAAAGAACGGAGGGCCTCTAACAAAAGGTGGCCGGGGTCTCTTTAAACTGTGGAATGGGTCTCTGCCGAGAAAAGCTTCCCTAGGCCGAAAGTCTGGCCGGGGACTCCGTAAAATCATACCACTCCGGCCGATGGCGTCTCTGTGTGCGGGACCCAAGGGAAGGCCACTGCTGCTGGTGTTGCCTCCCCCACCTCCTCCAAGGGCTGGGCCCAGATGCTCCAGAGGGCGGGAAGGCAGGCTCAGGCTCTCTCGTGCACGGCTAAGACCAGGGCCATTGAGGTCCCTGGGTCCTGTGAGCACCCCAAAATGCTCAGCCAAGGTCCCTTGAAGGAGGGAACTATGGTCCTTGGGAAAAACTGCCACAGGCCCAGTCACTCCATGCTCTGGCAGTGGTGGTGTTGGGAAAGGTACAACCCCAGAGTGGTCAACAGGAGGCGGAGGAGGGGGTGGAGTAGCAAAGGGGACACCACTCCCTCCACTGCTGCTAAGTTCCCCAGGGGGTGGAGGAGGGGGCGGGGGAGGGAAAGGAACTCCGCTGTGCTCTCCAGGAGGAGGTGGTGGAGCAGCATGGGCCAGAGATGCCTCCTTTGTAAAGGGGTTCGAAAGATCCACAGAGGGCAGATGAGTGGGTGCCTCTCGAGAGAAGATACCACCATGATCCTTAGGAGGGGCAGGTGGGGCAGATGACGGCCCCACTGGCTCTCTTTGGAAGGGTGTCCCATGTTCCAAAGGGGATGGGGGGAGATGATGCTCAAATGTTGAGTTGAAACTGCTGGAATGAAAGCTGGCGACACTCTCCTGAAACTGGGGTGCCCGTTCCTTGTATGGCGTTGTCTTAAAGCCAGTGAGGCCTCCGCTGCTCCCACCCCCAAGGGATGCCAACTCAGAGGCACCTGAGGGACCATTGTCAAAAGAGCTGCCTGGTGTGCTCAGATCAAACCAACCTACTCTTGAAACCTCTCGCCCATGTCCTCTATTTCCCTTCCCAGGAACTCGTATGGACTCTACAGTCTGTATTGGCTCCCCTGACATCCTCCTATTGGCTGCATTATGATAACCCAGAGTTTCTATGGGGGCTCCCTTTTCTTCTGTGCTATCAGGCAAGTCTAAACAGGAGGAAGAGACGCGGGTTTCTATGCGATAGTGTTCTTCCTGTTGCTGGTCAGGAGTAGGCAAGCTGGGCTGGGTGAGGTTTGACAGACTGACACCATCACTTGAAGTACCCTTGTTGGGGGTCTGGCCAAAATGCTTATCATCTGAGGGTTTGCGCGAGGCGTTTTTAAGCATATTCTTAAACTCAATCGTTGATGTGGTGGAAATCGTGGAGGCCAGGACTTTTTCCACACCTGATGTGGGAGGGTGTCCCGTTGGAGCAGCAAGGGTATTCTGCGAAGAGAAAAGGGAACGATGTGGGACTGAGTGAGGAGAGTCTGGGTACTGCTTCTGTGGCAAAGTGAGATGCCCAGTAGTAGGCTGAGACAAGTTACTGTGGTTGGAGTCAGGGGTGAAAAATGAATCATTCTTACTCGGTGACGGTGACCGATCAGACCCAGGTTCATTCCCTCTTATGCTGAAGGCACCAAACAGCCCAGGGGAAGATGAGAGCTGATCACAGTTCTCACTAGAGTCAAGGAGGGCCCTTACAGATGGAGGGAAGGCAGACTTTACCCCAAACTCTTGGGCCCTGTGGTTATAACTGGACAGGATTGGCTGATACTCAGTGGTGTCAGAAAGCTTGCTTGACTTCAGGATGGATTTGGCTGGTTTCTTCTCTAAGTTCATCACGGCAGAGGGGGGAGGCCCTGAATACTCAAAATCTCGGTAATCCTCATCTTCCTGGAAAGAAGTATCAGGGAAGAACTTTTCCTGTGACGACTCCATCAGGGAAGATGGTCTCTCTACTCCCTCCGAAGGCTGCTTGTAGGGAGAATCACTGGCCAGGCCAAAGGGCCGATACGTAGACACAGAATTGGGGAGCTCTTGAGGGTAGCTTTCATCTCTTCCAGGGGGTGGTGATCTTGTACTGCTGGGTGTTGAGGAACCAGGGCTGATGATCTTAGATAGCAGGGACATAGTATCTACACTGCTGGATGTGGGCTTGTCCATCATCTCATCCTGGGTGGGCGTCCCACTTCGTTCATCCCGAACAGGGGTTCCATCAATGTTGTCTGTTGAAGTGCTAGTGGGACCACGCTGGAAGTCTGAGGAATGGCTCTCTGATGGGGCACTGGATCCCAAACTGCTCAGGATTGGGATGTTTAAATTTAAGCCACTGAAACCAGGATTACCTTTTAAGAAGTTGTGGATCTTCATTTCCAGGCTTGGGGAAGTAGACTCTGATTCCAGCTTTGGCTTGGAGACCTCTGAGGATTGGCACATGGCAACTTCAGCAGGTGGGGCAGCAGGGCTAGTATTGTGGGTACCTGTAAATCCTAAAGTACTGGACGGTAATTTAAAAGGAGTGCTGGGGAGCACTGGGCTCTGCCCAACCGGTGCCTTGCTTGAAGTTGAAGAGACTTCAGCAGTTGACGAGTTAGGAGAATAGTTGAAGCTTTTGGAAATAAAGGACTGCGTATTGGAGAGCAGGTTTCGCCCCTTTATGGTAGAACCTGTGGTGCTAGCAGGGGACGTTGTAGAGCTCTGGGATGCAGCATCACTGGCCGGCACTGGGTTCCCAGTAACACTCTGAAGTAAAGATGACAGGCCTGCAGAAACACAGAGTAGAGGAGTTAAAGAACACTACCCACACTGTGATGAAAACAAGGCGGGCTTATTAGATATGATCATTCACTCTGGTGGGAACCAGATAGATTTTAAAACATGAAGTTAAAAGGAATCCAGACTAAGCAGGCAGTGTCTAAATGTCACAGAAAACATCAGGCCTATTTATCAACATAAGACAGCAAAGCATTCAGACATTCCCAGAACAATCCAGATACAAGTCCAATAATAAAAGGTCACAGGAAAGGGGATTTTCAATGTCAGAATCATTCATAGTTTAAACAAAGCAAAGCAGGAGAGGAACGGAAGCAAATTCTTAACACAACATTCCAAGCCAGTATCTGTGTCTGAGCTGTGGAATCTCTCTAAACACAAATGGATTTCCCACCTTTCTATCCTTCTTAATTTACTCCAATATTTTAGCAAGCACTGCTGTTTTCAAGAAGAAAAGAACATATACTAAATTCAGAAATCTGCTTTAATAGAGAATATATGAAGAAGTCTATCTCTTGGTAGATTAGTGTCACTTTTAAAATTATTTTGCATGTGTATGGGTGTTTGGCCCCCCTAGCCTCATGTATGTCTATATGCCACATGCATGGCCAAGGAGGCCAGAAAAAGGTACTGGATCTCCGGAACTGGAGTTACAGACTGCTGAAAGCTATGTGGGCGATGAGTTTCATCTCTCCAGCCCTGTCTTTAATTAATTTTTTTATTTTATGTGCATTGGTGCTTTGCCATGGGTGTCAGAAGCCCTGGAACTAGAATCAGACAGTTGTGAGTGTGGGTGCTGGGAATTGAACTTGGGTCCTCTGGAAGAGCAGTCAATGTTCTTAACCACCGAGTACTTTCCTCACCCCAGGCTTGTCTTTTATGGGGGATGGGAGTTTGGGGGAGGGGGTCTCATGTAATCTAGACTGGCATTAAACTCTAATCCTTTGAAGTTGGGATTTTAAGTGTACACTATCACATCCAGTTTTTTTCCCCCTTTAAAATTTGAATTTATTTAATTATTTATATTTTGAGCAGGATGTCAACTACCTAGCTCTGGCTGGCCTTGAACTCTGCCTGCCTCTGCTTTCTGAGTACTGAGATTAAAGGCACATGCCACTACAGCCAGCTCTTTTCTTTTTTCTAAATTATTTTTATTTATGTGTATGTGTATATATTTGTATAAATGTATGTAATATGTGTTCAGGAAGAAGGCATTACATATTCTGGAGCTAGTCACAGGTGGTTGTAATCTACCAGATATGAATGCTGAGAACAGAATTTGAGCCCTCTACAAGAACAGGTCATGCTCTTAACTATTGGGCCACTGTTCCAGCCCCCCTTCTTTTCATTTTCTTCTAGTTTTGTTTTTTTTAAGACAGAATGTCACTATGTACGCCAGGCTGTCCTCAAACTTTCAGTCTTCCTTTCTCTTAATAAAGGTAGGATCACAGGCATGCATCACAGAGATTGCTTTCAAGACCAAGGCTGTGAAAGACAGCAATGACAAACAGAAAGCAGGCACCACAAAGACGGACAAAGCCAGACCAAGAGAAGTGCTGATATTAACATATAAAAATGCACAATTCCTGCTTTACCGCTAGGAAAACCCAAGGATTATTGGTTTGTACAAACTGACAACGATGAGATTCAATTCTGTTCACTAACTGACAAACCTCAGAACCATGAAAAAAAAAATCTTTATTGCAGGCTAAAGTTAATGAAATCAAAGTGCTCTGAAAATGAAACAAAACAAACCCCAGGATCTCCTTACATAGCTGGGATGGACGCATGGTATTTTTCCCTGCCAAAATTACAAATGTATACCGCCATGTCCAGGCAAAAAAACAGTCTAAAAGACAAAAAACTAAAAAGGAAGATTCTGTGAACCAACCATATTTTGTCAAGTTTATTCACTTCCTAGACATAAATGAAAATTTTAGTTCTTGCTAAATCTGCCAAAAGTATCTTTTGGTAAAGAAATATCTAAAGAAAATATTCCTGGGGGCTGGAGAGATGGCTCAGCGTTTAAGAGTGCCTGCTCTTCCAAAGGTCCTGAGTTCAATTCCCAGCAACCACATGGTGGCTCACAACCATCTGTAATGAGGTCTGGTGCCCTCTTCTGGCCTGCAGGCATACAAACAGAGAGAATATTGTATATATAATAAATAAATATTTAGAAAAAGAAAATATTCCTGATATTTCAGTTAGTGCTTCTTCAAAATATCAATTTAAAATCATATTTACTAAGGAATTTAAAAATTAACTCTCTTTGTGCACACGTGGCACCTACATGTAGGAGCCAGAGGTCAACTTCAGTATCAGCGTCTCAGGAGCCTCCACCTGTCTTTGAGGCAAGGTCTCACTGGGAGCTGGGGCTAACCCATCAGGCCAAGTCAGCCAGCCAACAGGATTCTTTTGTTACTGCTTCTCTGGCACAAGGATTCCAAACACAACTCCAGGCATGGATTTAATGTGGGTACTATGGATTAAGCTCAGGTCTTCATGCATGCACAGAAAACAATTTACTGCCTGAACAAATCCTAAAGTTAATTTCAGTAAATGGTCCTCATCATGGCACGTTCATACACCATGTGTCATTAAACTTCATTAGTCACCTCTCCTCCCTCCACCTTCCTCTCTGTGGACAGGAACTCCATCTGCTGTCATGCCACATCTATTTCACCCCCAACCACGATCTTTTCTTCACCTCTCATGGATCTTTATTTTAACATCTACACAGACAGACACAATTTATTATGCCTTTGAGAGAAAATATGGTTATTTCTATTTCTGTGTCTCGCTTAACACGATAATCTCAGTTACACCCGTTTCCCTGCAAATGTTGGGTTTTTTAGGTTCTTCATGAGGCTGGATTAAATTAGAAGGGCAGTGTACACATTTCATCTCTCTTGGCTGGTTCCATTTTCTGCCTACTGAAAGCAAGGCAATATTAACAGGGACACACAAGAATCCCTGTGCTGTGTTCATGTGAGTTCTTCAGATGTAGACCCAGGAGCAATCATATCTGAGCTCCATTTTCAGTCAGGAAAGTTCATCCTGACTTCCATGGTGGCTATACCAGATTACAAACCTACAGACCAGACACAAATTTTATTATTACTGTTTCTGCTTCACATACTGGCATAAATTGTGATCCTTCTCCCACTGCCTCTCAGGTAGGGGTCAATTGCACCATGTCTGTCCTTTATTTTTATTTTAAGACTAGATGCTCTAGAACTCATTATATACACCACACTGGCCTCAGACTCACAGGGATCCACCTACCTATAGCTCTCAAGTGCTGTGATTACTGGTGTGAGGTATGTATGACTACTATGTCTCAGACACTGTGGGCATGTGCTTTCCCAGAGCACTGTCTTCTCAGATGGACACTGTCAGGCCAGCGAGATGGCTCAGCAGGTAAGACACCTGATGCCAAGCCTGATGATCAGGGTTTGATCCTCAGCACCCACATTGTATGAGAGAACCAATTTCAACAAACTGTCCTTCAACAAATAAATAAATTAAAAAAGATATCAGACTTTCGTAATATTTGTAATGTGACGTTTCTGTCACTTTACTACATTTCTTTCATGTCAACAAGCCATGAAGTCTTTCTTTTGAAAATTTGTCAACAGATTGTGGATAACAAAAACAGAACAAAGTTCTAAGAAATTTTCTTTTCTTGTTTTGAGACAGGGTTTCTGAACTCAGATCTGCCTGCCTTTGCCTCTAGAGCACTGGGATTAAAGGTGTAAAAAAATTGTATTCTCAGGGTGGTAGTGGCACATGTCTTTAATCCCAGCACTCAGGCAGGAGGACTCTAAGATACAGTTATGCATCTGAAGGGAAAAAAAACTAATATGAATGACTTTTAATTTGTTACTCCATCTACAAGATGGTGGTAGAAAGGGGGAACCCAAGAGCACTGTAATCTCTCTTGAGTTGTACAAGATGAGCTGTTAGAGATTATCAAACCTTTTTTTTTAATTTATTTATTTATTATACAATATTCTTTCTGCGTGTATGCCTGAAGGCCAGAAGAGGGCACCAGACCTCATTACAGATGGTTGTGAGCCACCATGTGGTTGCCGGGAATTGAACTCAGGACCTTTGGAAGAGCAGTCAGTGCTCTTAACCGCTGAGCCATCTCTCCAGCCCCCTCAAACCTTTTTTTGTGCTTAAAACAAAACCACCACCACAACAACATAGTGCTAGAAAGACGGCTCACTGGTTAAGAGCACTGACTGCTTTTCCAGAGGTCCTGAGTTCAATTCCTGGCACCCACATGGTGGCTGACAACTGTTTGTAGCTCCACTTCTAGGGGATCTGACACCCTCACCCAGACATACATGCAGGCAAAAACACCAATACATATAAAAATAAATTATATATATGCATATTATACATACACACACACACTCACACACTCACACCACCACAGAAACAGAATCCCACTGTAGCCTAAGTTAGCCTTCAACTTGAAATCTGAGTATCCTAAGAACTGGGATTACTGGGAACATCAATTCTTTCCTGTCAGTTCCAATAGAGAGAGGTTTCAGATGATCACTGAATAGTATTTACTTTTATAAAATAAAATTCTTTAAGGATAAACAATAATTTATCCAGAACAGTTTGGAAGTAATACACAGCTGTAGTGCTCTACTCACAGCACAGGGCTCCTCACTAATACTGACATGTTACACTACACACATTCCGTGGCTGAGACTAGTCTATGCATTATAGGATATTTAACAACATCTGTCTGACCTGGTTTTATGATGCTGACACTGTTCTGGAATTCATAATTAATGGCATAATTATACTGAGATGCTTAAGAAAGGTTGTGCAGGTATCTAGGTAACAAGAATTGAAAGATCAGGTAAGACTCATGAAAAACAGAAGCACTTTTATGTAGAAGATGTAACTGGGAAGGCCAAAAAGAGAAGTTTAAATGAGGCACAGATTACAGATAGAAGAAAAAAAAAGACGTATTATAGGTCAACATTAGACCTCAACACACACCAGGTAGTGGTGGTGAACTCCTTTAATATCAGCACTTGGGAGGCAGAGGCAGGTTGATTTCTGTGAGTTCAAGGCCAGCCTGGTCTACAGAATGAGTTCCAGGACAGTCAGGGCTACACAGAAAAACCTTGTCTTGAAACTACCCTCATAAAGGGAAAAAAAAAAAAAAAAACAACACACACTAACCCTATACTGAAATTAATATAACCCTCCAATGGTGCCATGGTGCAGGTCAGAGTATTAAATAATCAAGAAAACTGGTTTTCAGTTTTAACATCACACATCAGACAGGCTTAACCAACCAAGTCACAGCAACAAGCCTCGTTTTCCTATCTTAATGGGATGGTAACAGACTAGCTAATATTTAGTCTGTTTCAATGTTGACATTTTCAATTCTATAAATGCCACTTCACAAGTGATAACTATAAAGGCACTAAGGAGTTAACTATAGTGTACATTTCATGACTTTGGATTCTTAGAATTAGAATACAAGTTTACACTGTTACACAATTCAAGTCCCTCTGGCACATGTCTGTTTACCTTGGAGTGCAGGGGCTGACTGTGTCTGGGTTTTGGAAAGAGCAGAGAGAATGCTCTCTGGGGTGATCTCCACCTTCGAGAGGATATTTGCCAGAGGGTTGTGAGATGTTGTTGTGGCAGGAGCAGGTGTTTTCAGGCCACTGGTGAGGTTGCAAGGACTGGTAGGTGTTGCTGGAGAAGGTCTTGATGCAGAACTGACCCCTGGTGGCAGAAAGATGAACTCAAGAAAATGCAATACTCAATTCATGACACTTTCCACTCAATGAATGATTGTTTAATAGTAATTTTTGTGACTTATGTACAAATTGTGCCCATTCTGACACATACAAAGATAAACACCTGAAAATATGAACTGTTCTATTTAGAATATTCTTAAAACAAACAAGCATTATGTTATTTTCACACACATTGGTTTTCACAGTAGCAACCAGACAACCTACTTCTACTTTGATGATATGCCTGGTGTGTGGGCTGTGGTGGGGGGTGTGGAGATCAGTGATGTGGGATGTCCTTCTGTATATGTGTTGCTTTTATTGGTTGACGAATAAAGCTGTTTCGGCCAATGGCTTAGCAAAGTAAAGACAGGCAGAAAATCCAAACAGAGATATAGAGAGTGGGTGGAATCAAGGAGATGCCATGTAGAAGCTGAAGGAGGAAGATGCCACAATATTACTAGTAAGCCAGTCTCGTGGCAATACATAGATGCATAGAAATGGGTTAATTTAAGATGTAAGAGCTAGCTTGGAATACACCTGAGCCATTGGCCAAACAGTGTTGTAATTAATATAGTTTCTGTGTGATTATTCCAGTCTGGGAGTCTGGGAAATGAAAGCACAGTCTCTGCCAACAGGTTGGAAGTGGGGGGAAGGGATGGGGTAGTGACGACAAGCCTATGTTATTGGCCAGTGTTTTTCTTTGAAACAATCTTTAAAATGACATTATACAAACAAACTCCTTTACACTTTTACACCTCAAAATATTGGGTTGGTTATTAACACATTAAAAGGGGAAATGCAGACAGGAGAAAATAAGTAAATGAAAAATAGTCTAATTAAAAGAATAGATACTATCTTTTCAAGGTTGACCATGACAACGGAAAGGGTTGGTAACAGTTAAATTTCCAACTACTAGGTATATAAAGGAGTATACTCTCTTAGGTAACAATTTAGTCCTAACACATGAAAATACTTTTAAAAAATCTACATGCTGTTTTTTGGTTTTGTGTTTTTGAAACAGGGTCTCCAGCTGTGCAGTGATAGCACACACACTTTTTTTTTCTGGCACACACATTTAATAGCAGCACTAGGGAGGCAGACGCAAGCATATCTCTTTGTGGGTTTGAGGCCAGCCTGGTCTACAGAGTGAGTTCCAGGCCAGGCTCCAAAGCTACAGAGAAACCCTGTCTCAAAACAAACAAACAAACAAACAAACAAACAAACAAACAAACACCAAAAACCAAACCAAACTGAACAAACAAACAAAAAAGAAATAGGGTCTTAACAATATAACCAATGTTGGCCTAGAATTCTCATTCTTCCTCATGGTTTTCTGAGTGTCAGCATTGTCTAGGCCACATGCTAATCCCTACCCCCAAATAACACAGTGGGCAGATCACAGATGAAATATCTGTTTCCCCATCTTTCTGCAGTTGCGTGTTGTACATTCTAGTGTTTTTATTGTTGTTGTTGTTACTGTGTGGAGAATGGGGGAGCGTGTGGAGATCAGATGACAATTCTGTGGAGTCAGATCTCTCCAGTTACATAAGATCCGGAGAATAGTCAGGAGGTGGTGGTGTACGCTTTTAATCCCAGCATTTAGGAGGCAGAGACAGACGGATCTCTGAGATTGAGGCCAGCTTGATCTACAAAGCAAGTTCCAGAACAGCCAGGATTGACTGCTTTAGAGAGAAACCCTGTCTTGAATTAAAAAAACAAACAAACAAACAAAAAACCCAAACAATAACAAAAACAGATCTTGAGAATTGAATGCAGGGCTCATCAGGTTTGCATAGCAAAGATCTCAGCATTCTTTACAAAGCAAAATGCTGAAAACATAGTAATGTGATATCTAATAACAAGGACTATCATACATTACAATTAAAGTTGACATAGATAAATTTTCTTTTCTTGTGTGTGTGGTATATGCACAGGTACACTCATTCACGTGTATGCACCTGGAGGCCAAGTGACATTGGGTGTCTTCTGTCACTATCTAATTTCAGGAGACAGTGTCTCAAACACTAAAACTGGAGCTTTATGTTTCTTCTAGACTGGTTGCCAACCTCAACCTGTCTCCACTCACTCCAGATGGTGGGGTACACACATGGCTAAGCCTAGTTTTTACATGGGTGACGGTGATCTGAACTTAGATACTTATGCATCAGGCATGCCGTTCTCTGGACCATTTCCCTATCCACTCTCATCTTTTTTTCCAGAAAGGGTTTCATGTAGCCAGGCTATCCTTGAACTCCGGATTCTCCTGTTCTTCTTCCAACACGGAGACTATAGATATGTACCATCACAACCAGCTAGCTGTTTAGACAATTATTTAATGACATAAAAATGTGTGATATCATAAAGTTTTTAAGTAAAATGGCTTAAAAATAATATAGACAATGTTTATTTTTTCTTAGTTTTTCGAGACAAAGTTTCTTTGTGTATCGTTGGTTCTCCGTTCCAATCGTTGGTAAGTTCCATTACTATATAGAGCAGAACGTACTCAACTTCACAGAGATCCGTTTGTCTCTGCCTCCAAAGTGCTGGGATTAAAGGTATGCAGCACCACTGCCCAGCCAACATTTCAACTACCAATAGTATTACAAATATTTAATCCATCAAATTCACGCATCCATGCATATTTGTGGGTGGTTTGTTTTGGCACAGTAAGATTATTTTTGAGCTTTTTTAAAATAATGTCTATCCATTTGTTAATGTATTTAAAATGAAAAAATTTGTCAGACGATGATGGCACACCCCTTTAATCCCAGAATTTGGTAGACAGAGGCAGGCGGATCTCTGTGAGTTTGAGGTCAGCCTGACCTACAGATCGAGTGTCAGGACAAGTTATAAAGCTACGCTACGCAGAGAAACCCTCCCACCAAAAAAAAAAAAAAATTGAAGAAATTTCACCATTAGCAATAAAAAAAAAATTGATGGTTCAGTGAAAACCAAGATGGAATCCAGGTTTTACCATCCTCACTAGGCTCACTTACCAGTGTTTTTCATGACTGAAGTTAAGCTGCTAAGGATGGAACTAATTTTTGCCAGATCCACATTTGCCAGGTTTGGCAAAACCAAAGCAGGGGAAGGGGACAGAAGCGAAGTGTTCATGGGCTTTGGAAGAGGTGGAGCTGCTGTCGTGGGCACAGTTGCTGGGGCACACGGTGAGGCCTTCGAGACACTTTCTGTTGACTTTGTGGGTACAGAAGTGGAGACAGCTGGTTTTTCCAGAGGTTTTTCTTTCCTGTCCTCTACTGTTTGAACAAATAAGAGGCAATGTTATAACCTATTTTCTAGATTTTACTTTCAGTATGAACCAATATTATGTCCCTAATATTTCCTACTCTGAGGGCAAAAGCCCTACTCTCACTTTATGGTTTAAAAACAAAACAAAACATAAAAGCCCCACCAGTTCCTAGCAGCCATATTAGATGGCTCAAAACCCCTGTAACTGCAACTCCAGGGGAGTAGATGCCCCCTTCTGTCTTATGGGGGTATACACATAAACAAATATAAGAGAGGGCTGGAGAGATGGCTCAGTGGTTAAGAGCACTGACTGCTCTTCTAGAGGTCCTGAGTTCAATTCCCATCAACCACATGATGGCTCACAACCATCTGTAATGAGATCTGATGCTCTCTGACCTACAGGCATACATGCACACAGAGTACTGTATACATAACAAATAAATAAACCTAAAAAAAAATACAAAATAAAAAAATCAGTCTTTATAGTTTATGATCATTCCCACCATAAATTATCTGTATTTTACTTATTAACATGAATTATTTTATGCACATGACTGCTTTTTTTGTCGGCATGTTATGTGTATATGTATGCAGCTCCCCAAGAGGCCAGAAGATGTGTCCTCTAAAAGAGCAGCAGTGCTCCTACCTGCTGAGCCATCTCTCCAGGCCTTAGGTACTAATTTGAAACTGCAATTTCTTTAAGTCTTAAATTTTGGAAATACACTCCTCTTACTACTTTAAAGAACACAGGGTAAGTAGTGTATTTAATTCAACACAAGCCAAACTACTTAATAAAAATAATTATAAAAGTGCAGATGTCAGACAAACACCATTTAAGGTTAGTTCTGAAAATTAATTAATCAACTGCAGCTTTGGAATTCTTTTTCCTTAAATTATTTTTGGATTTATATATGTTTATGAATATTATGTCTCTATTTATGTACGCCACATTTTTCCTGGTGTCCAGGGAGGTTACAAGAAGTGTCAGATCTCTTGGAACTGGAGTTAAAGACAGCTGCGAATTGCTATGCAGGTGTTGGAAACTGAACCCAGGTTCTTTGCCAGAGCAGCAAGTGCTTGTAATTGCTGAGCCATTTCTTCAGACCAGTCAAATTAAAAAAACACAAACAAAAGTTTATAAAAAGTTATAAATTCTTGTAATATATTTTGTTTATCTCAACATATCCAAATTTTGTTTTGTTTGTTCAAAACAGGGTTTCTCTGTGTAGCTCTGGCTGTGCTGGAACTCTCTCTGTAGAGCAGGCTGGCCTTGAACTAATAGAAGATCCACCTGCTTCTTCTTCCTGAGTGCTGGGATTAAAGGTATGTATTGCTGCCACCACCACCTGACATATCCAAAATATTTTTTTTCAGTAAGGTATAAAAATAAAAATCATTTCTGAGCACTAGGATACAGCTCAGAGTTAAGTGCCTGTGAAAGGCCCTGGGTTTGATCTCCGGTACCATGAAAAAGCAAGTTTGGCTAAAAATTAGCAGGAAAACAACGTCAATACAGAATATAGGCTACTTACCAATGATTTTTGATCCATCATCTTCTACATCAGAGAGTTCCATGTCTTGCACATCACGGTTATCTGTCACAGGCTCAGGTGTGGCAGATTTTTCACTCTCCATGGCTGGTGACTGGGATTCCTCACCTCCCATTCCCTGAAACGGAGACTCAGAACCAGTTGGGGAAGGAGCATCCATACTTGGAGAAGGAACTGGCGATTCCTCGGGATCAGGAAGGGTTGACTTCAATTGATCCAACTTCTTCTTTAAGTTGTTTACTCTGTTAGCGAAGGTTTTATAAGCCTAAGTAAGAGAGGGGGGAAAAAAAAGACATTATTTCTCTGAAAAAAAACGAACACCCAGCCACCATTTTGACTATGATCACATTTCCTCATTATTAAAAACAACGAGAACAAAACAAATCATCTGTTGAGCACAGAGTAGTCTGGATATCTACTGTGTTCAGTGAATATTACAACCCAGTCATCGGAGTTAAAAATGTGTTTTTGTTTTTTTTTGGTTTCACTGTGTAGCCCTGGCTGTCCAAGAACTCACTCTGTAGACCAGGCTGGCCTCAAACTCAGAGTTCCACCTGCCTGTCTCCCAGTGTTGGAATTAAAAGTTGTGAGCTACTACTGCCCAGCTTTCCACACATATACACATAACCGTCTCCCTCTCCTTCCCTTTCTATATGTGTACACATTTATATACATGTATAATATACATTATATAAAATAACTCACATTTATTTTGGGGGTGGGCATACAGGTATGTAGGTGTCACAGCACACATATAGAGGTCAGAGGAAAATTTGTGGGAAAGCTGGTTTTCTCCTCTCACACTAGTCCCAGGGACTGAATGCAGGACATCAGGTTTGGCAGCAAGTGCCTCTACCCTCTAAGCCATCTCATCAGCCCCCAAAACTATTATAGTCTATATATACTGAGTCATATATGTTTTACCCATATATATTTCTAGTCTTAGTTTTCATTTCTATAACACTGTGAACCCCTAAAAATAAATAAACAAACAAATAAATGAATGAATGAATGAAACAAGGAGGAAAAAAGAACCCATCAAGGCATGATAAGCAAAACAATCAAAAGCAGAGGGACCATTACAATAAGTTACTATGGTAACCTAGGCTGTCTAGAGCTTGGAGGAAAACACTTCTTGTTATTTGAAGCTGAAACCTTTAATTAAAACATTCTAGGGAAAAAAAGAAAGAAAAAAGAACAAGGAAAAAAATTCTAGGAAACAACTGCAGGCTTCTTTTAAGGTCTACCCCTATAAGAATAAAGTCCCCAAACTTCCATATGTTTGTGTTTTCTCTTTGTGAATACGCATGGGGGAGGGGTCATTATACCTTCCCCCTCAAGAAACCTATTTCGCTCTGGCACCCTGAATCAGCAAATCCTTGCTTCTTTGATCACTTGTATGTTAAAAATTACAAGAGTACTCCTAGTTTTCATGGTACTCCAGCTTTTAAAAAAAACCTCTACAGATGGGCAAAGGTGGTGCACGTCTTTAATTCCAGCACTTGGGAGGCAGAGGCAGGAGGATCACTGAGTTCTAGGCCAGTTTGGTCTACAGAGCAAGTTCCAGGAGAGGCTCCAAAGCCACACAGAGAAACCGGTCTTGAGGGGAAAAAAAACAACTTTGTAATAGTCCAAATGTATAAGGCACTATAGAAAGAACATAAATATCACACACACACAAAAGGAAAAAGGGGGGAAACGAGAAAGAAATACTAATGCACAATGGTTAGGATGTTTATGAATGTCAGTATCTGAGGGACGACCCATGTCTTAATCTAATCAGCACTTTTTACTATTCAAGAGTAATTTCTTTATGTGTCTAATGTCTAATGCTTATTCTCAGTGTTACTCACCCTATGTAAAAAGTATCTGACATACAATAAGTATTCAATATAAAATAGTTGCAATTACTTACGTTGGCCACCACTTTCACTTCCTTGTACTGTGCTTCATAGAAAATTCCAGCATTTTCTAGTGCTTCTGTTAGGGAGGGCCCGTTTTTCACCTGTTTATCTAATCCATTCACAAACTCCTCTAGCTTTGAACTTGCTTCTTCAAATTCTTTGGAAAACTTCTTTCCCCCTGTTTTATCTAAAAGAATGGAGAAAATATTTATATTAAAATTAGAAAAGTAAAAACATTAATCTCAGCCATGTGGTAGTGGCACACGCCTTTAATCCCAGCACTCAGTAGGCAGAGGCAGGTGTATCTCTGAGTTCGAGACCAGTCTGTTCTACAGAGTGAGTTTCAGGACAGCCAAACAGAGAAACCCTGTCTTAAGGGGAAAAAAATATTTTGAGTAAAATTCCTTTCCATGCAACAGTTCTTACTGTTCTGTGACACTTTTCCTGCTGCGTTAGCTGAAAATTATTTTTGTTTTGAGTGTGAGACTATGTAGTTAATGCTGGCTTCAAACTCATGGTCTCCTGCCTCAGCTCCCCAAGTGACGAGAGTCCTAGAATGTGCCACCACATCTGTTTTCTAGTGTACGATATTTCTCGTCCCAACTTTAAGACAGAGTTTCAATAAATTGTTTAGGTTGTCCTTCAGTGACTGATATTATAGACTTGTGCCACCAGGCTATAATCACAATAACAGTTTTACCTTTAAGAAGTTAAACCAACACCTCCCCCGAGACACACACACACACAAACAAACACAAACTTGTGATTGTTCCAAATGAAGGTGCCTATAAAAAGATAAAGTTCACCCGAAAGAGTTATTATTTTTCTTTTTTTTAAACATTTATTTTTAGCCAGGCAGTGGTGGTGCATACCTTTAATCCCAGGATGAAGGAAGCAGAGGCAGGTGGATCTCTGTGAGTTCAAGGCTAGTCTGGTCTACTGAGTAACTTCCAGTACAGCCAGGGATAGACAGAGAAACCCTAGTAAAAAACAAAAACAAAACAAACAAACAAAAAAAAACCTACCAAACAAATTTATTTTTAAATTTTATGTGTATGGGCAAGTGTTTGTATGTATGTGCACCACATGCAGGCCCTTGATGCCCTGGAACTGGAATTACAAGCCAATGGCGGTGAGTCATCCAGCATGGGTACTGAAAACTGAATCCGGGTTCTCCTGAAGGATAGCAAGTGCGCTTAACCACTGAACCACCTCTCTAGCCCCATCGGTCACTTCTTTTAGCCATACTCGTCCTTAGGAATATCATATGAAGCTCCATTCTCTTTACCTGTATCTACTTTCTGTAGTACAGAAGGTTCTAACACATGTCTCTCATATGAGAAGCCACAGTTCAGAGAAGTCAAGTCATCTCATACAGTACTCACTCTTCTATGAAAGTGTCCTTAAAATTCAACAAATGCTTCTCTTCTAATGCCTGCTGGAATAGAGCTGTGGATGGATATGGGCATTCATTCTGTCTTTGCCTTTCATTAGCTATGCAACTTGAGCCTACTAATCTCTCTTCATGAGGCCTGTTTTCTCATGGGTATAACAGAGCTTTAGAAAATGCTTCCAGGTTTTGATTGAGATTAAATTAGATGGCCTGTGTTCAAGTTAAAGTATGGTACAGTGGACAGGGATAATATTCAATATCCAATGGATAATATTCAAGTCACTCTGATTAGCAAGTATAATATCACTTATTCTGTCAAGACTTTTTGTTTATATTCAATGGACACACCCTTAGAGATATTACAGAATAAAAGCCCAAGCATCTTCATCTTTGGTGACTAAATACACATTTATGTATTTAGTAAATTTATGTCACTGTTGTAGAACATGAGCAGACGCTAGAAGTACACCTGGGCTGCTGGGAAGTGTTTAAAAACAGCGTGCACTGCTTTTATTTCTTTCCCCATCATGGTTTAGTATAAAGCCTTGCAAGGTACATGGCTGGTTTTGTTTTACACGAAAGTGGTCTTGTTCTAATTTATGGTCTACATTCCCCTTCTTCCTCTTTGTAGTCCCTAGCTGCAGTGGTTCAACACAGCTACTCCGTTCTTTAGAGCATGTTCTAACTTTATGTAGATAATGCAGGTGGACAAGCTAGATTGTTAGAGGCAAAAATGGGAACATTAAACAAACACCACAGTGCTTACTAACAGCATTATGATTCTGCTATAAAATGTGGATTTTCCTCTTTGGGGAGAAAGCTTATAACTATTTTGTATGGCTTATCTGGAAACTTCTGTAAATCTTATGTTCTATGACTTTAATCCCAGCACTCTGGAGGTGGAGACAGAGGCAGGTGAATCTCTGAGCTCGAGGCCAGCCTATTCTACAAAGTGAGTCCAGAACAGCCAGGGTTTACACAGAAAAACACTGACTCAGAGAACGAAAAAACAAACAAGGAAAGAAAAACTTACATCCTAGTAAAATATTGTTATTCCATAAATAATTGAAGTAAAACATGGCACAGAAAGGAACAAAATGAATAGCTAACCATCATTTATTCATTATTTCAAAAACATGCATCAAGCGCAGATATGTGTAATTGTTCAAACGAGTATAGAAATAGTCAATTAAAAGATAATCTCTGATTGTAAGAGGCTTATCTTCTAATAAATTATGAGTATAATTATATAAAATCATAATATAAAAAGGAGAAGACAATAGAGCAACCTTACTAAAGAATATACTCAAATCAATTAACCACAAAGGGGAAACAAAACTGTTTATATCTAATTCAATATAACAAGAAAGTGAAAAGAGCAGGAATTTAGGGGCTGGAGAAATGGCTCAGTGGTTAAGAGCATTGCCTGCTCTTCCAAAGGTCCTGAGTTCAATTCCCAGCAACCACATGGTGGCTCACAACCATCTGTAATGAGGTCTGGTGTTTTTTTTCTGACCGGCAGACATACACACAGACAGAATATTGTATAATAAATAAATAAAGTTTTAAAAAAAGGAGTAGGAATTTATATACAAAGCCAGGTGCGCTGGTATACAAGAGGTTCAGGCAGGCAGATCTTTTTGAGTTCAAAACTAGCCAGGCATATAGAGTGATAACAAGCAAGCAACTCCCTGTCTCAAAAATGAAAAAACAGGGGCTGGAGATATGGCTCAGGGGTTAAGAGCACTTGCTGCTCTTGCGAAGGACCTGGGTTGTTTCTACATTCACACGGTGGCTTACAACCATCCTTAACTCTAGCCCAGCATCAATGCCTTCTTTTGGCCTCTGTAGGCACGAGGCACAGATGTGATGCACATATAGACAGTCTGGCAAAATACTGATACATATAAAATAAGTAAGTCTTTAACGCCCCCCCCCCCCAAGAAACCCAGGAAACTTCCTCCCCTCAGGGGAATTGATTTATTTATAAGGTTCATACAAATCAAACTGCTACGTCAATGGAACACAATCACTTCTGAAAATTGCTTTACCTGAAGGGGTTGAGGAATCCTCCCCACTCCTCTTTAAATACTCTGTAATGATCCCACCCAGAACTAGGTTTAATGTTCTTTTTATGGGGCAAACCAGTCTGCAAGAAAGAAAACTTTGAGCTTTTTTTGTTGGTGATATTGCTTTGTTGTTGTTGTTGTTTTAATAAAACAGGTTTACTCTGTGTAACTCTGGCTGTCCTGGAACTTGCTTGGTAGACCAGCCTGGCCTTGAACTCACAAAGATTCAACCACCTCTGCCTCTGGAGGGCTGGGATCAAAGGTGTGCACCACCATCACCTGGTTACTTTGAGCTACTTTATTTAAGGATGTGTTTGTTACCTTTTAAACACTTGAGAGTTTCTGTGCTGCAAACATCCACTCTCATAGTTGACAACTGTTTCTCCTTCAGTTCTATCTGATCTTCTGATCGTTTGTATGTCAACAATTCTTCAATGAAGGCCTGAGACTGAACAGACAACAATCAATTCTCATTCGTAAGATCAAATATTCTCTCCCCTAGATATGTAAGACTAATGACTAAAGAAGCCCTAAGAGGAAAAATAAATTCTTTTACTTTTCCTCAGACAACAGAAATCAATCTTCAACTCCCAGTCAAAAACCATATTCTTAATTACATACTTATTTTAAAACTTACTTTTAGTTCTTGAAGACAGTTTTACTATTTAGCCCTTGCTCCACAGATCAGGCTGACCACAAATTTGTCCCTGTCCCCTGAGTGCTAGGATTAGCCTTCACAACCGCAATCAATAAGTTATAAAAACAAAACCAAAAAAAAACCCAAAAAACCAAAACTTTTATTTACATTAAAAAATTTGGGCTGGAGAGATGGCTCAGAGGTTAAGAGCACTGGCTGCTCTTCCAGGGGTCCTGAGTTCAGTTCCCAGCAACCACATGGTGGCTCACAATCTATAATGAGATTTGGTGCCAGAAGACTACATAATAAATACATAAATAAATAACTATTAAGAATGTTTTTATCTTCTAATTTAATTTTCATTCTGTACATATGTGTAGGCGCACAGCACCATGGTGCATGTGGAGACCAGAGGATAACTCTTCCAGAGTCAGCTCTCTCCCTTCATCACGTGGACCTCAGTTATTAAACTCAGGCTTGGTGGCATTCTACCCAGTCCCTAATTATTAAAGTTAATTTACAGATACAGGGTTAACATCGAAACAAAAGCCCCTTACACCCTCCCTAAACGTAATTATATTCTGTGCTGCTCTAAGAAAATTTTAAGTTTAGTAGCATTAAATTAAAGAAGGCTCCCTGGTAACATACACTAAACACACAGTTTAGCGGGCAACAGATGTTCTACACTGTTGTTTCTTCACTAGGAAAACAGACAGAACTCTAGGTAATCTAATCCTATTCAGATTCCCCATGTACACATGAGCAGAAATAAATATGACTAGGAACTGTGACTTCAATGGTGAATAAATTATTTTTACTATACTTAAATTCTGGAACTTACTCGAAACTCAGCAACTATCTTAGATTTGAGAGCAGCTTTTGGATTCGTGGATGCTGTTGAATGAAAAAAAAAATCAATAAGAATACAACACAAAGACTTTACCAAATCTAGGAAAATCTGAGATATCGAGTTAAGGGTGTACTCTGCAAACATACGGCAGCCATGCACACATAAATCAGAATATAATCCTGCAGCAAAATAATTGGCTATGAAGTTTAAATACTCCTAAACATAACCAATAGAAAAATAAACTATTTAGATAAGTCTAACAACTTACCTCCAAAAGACTTGTTAAGTCCCAGAATTAATGATTTGGAGACACTGAGGAAGATACATGAAGCACCACCCTCTAGTCTCATTAAGTGTAAGAAAATCTCAGTATCTCAATGTAAGAGTGTCCAAGAACAAGACATCCAATTAATCCTGAGTACTTGCTGAAGAAAATTATTTATCAACTTCCATCTGGCTAAGTTTAGATTTTTTTTTTTAGCCGACTCAGTTCATAGCAACAAAAGATCTAAATGCATTATCACTGCACTTGAACTTTGGCTTCCGTTGTTCCTAAGCATGCAATGTATGACCAAAAGGATGACAGAGGACTCCCTTAACCATGATGAGTAAGTATCATATGCTTGATGGAGCAAAACATCCCAACTCTCTTGTTTCACCTCCCACTTCTCCACTGTCCTCCACCTTGTTCCCTCCAAACCTTCCAGTCTCTCGACAGTCCTCCGTTTGCCCACAACAGTCTATAACATGCAGCATTCCTCTCCCTTGATATCATGCTGGGTAAATAGGACAAACACAACAGTAGCTCCAGATAGAGAATGAGTTTCTGGCCAAAATTGGAGGCCCATGTCTAATCTGGTAGAGTGTATCCCCAAATCTGAAGGCTTTCATGGCTCCCAGAGAAATGCTTCTTAATGCCTAGTCTCCTCTTCAGCTTTGTGGTGTAAACCAGCCGCCTCTAACTCCGCACATCTCTGAATGTGGAAATTAGCCTGGTACTATCAAGCTTTTTTTTCTTCTTTCAATCCCCCAACTACTCTTGGATCTTCACTCAAACCCTTTTTCTGCATTTCCTCTGTTTAACAGTAGTTTTTAAAAGAAGTAACTTCATGCTGGCTTGATTAGTCTAAGACTGGGAACCTCCCAGGCCTAGAAACACAGGCTTGCCCATGGTTTATGCCAGGTACGGTGTCAAACGGTCTACAGTTTCTTCTGCTCCAAAAGGAGGAGGTAATTTTATATTAGTTGAGATTTTGTTCCTTACTTTGTGATTTCTTCCACTGCTTATTCGGTTGTTTGTTCAGATTTTCTTTCAGCTGCTTCTGAGTTTTGAAAGTGGTACCTGGAAAACATTGCAGTTTTTGCAGTCTGGCATTATGGGAAGCTGTTCTGTCTGTCCACTCCAGTGCCAAAGATGTAGCAAGAAAAAGGTAATCCAAGACTGTGTAGTTTCTTTCATTTTTTTCTTTTATTTTTATAAAAACAAAAATAGACAATACCCACCAAATCTAAGAAGCTATTAAATAAATGTAATTTCTGCAATTAATGAAATCTCCCGTTCTGAAAGAGAATAAGGCAGAGGCTAAAAATAAGTTTCTTTTGAATAGAACACAAATGTGTATGCAGGATTCAACAGCTTCTTAGAAGGTGTTCTTTTAAAAGCCAATTTCTAGTGAAATGATGATCATGGCAATAATTACCATGAACTTCTATTTGGTGGTTTAATAACATAAATCTTATATATAAGAACTAATTTACTTAACACACACATACACACACAAACACACAAAGAATAGATATATAATTATTGCAAAATGAAATCAAATGGAGCTTAGAGACTATACAATTATGTTCACCACCAAACAACTTAAAGATGTGAAACCATGCCCAAACTTCCCCAACAGTAGGAGGACAGAACAGTATTTACCAAACATAATCAATGAATAGTAATATTTAATGAAAGCAAACACAGAAAAATAACCAGATGACTATCATCATTTAACATATTTACTGTTTTTAGTCAGCAGAAACAAAGGTCCAACTACCTATCCCAACCAATTTAATTAAGTCCAGATAGTCATATTTTTATGTATTTAATTTTAAACAAATCAGGCCAGATTCCTTTACCACTTTAGTATTATACAACAGGACTGGACCTGTGGATACAGACAGAATTGCAAAGATTGACTTTTAGGTAAAAAAAGGCACTTACTTAAAGCTTCTCTCAATGCCACAATCATGTCTTCTGGGTACACATTTCTATCTTCCCAGATTTTAAAGATTCGCTCTATTGACTTAGAGACGGATGGATCCCTAAAAGAAAAGTAAAATATACAAATACTGAGCTAGAGATGGCTCAGTGGTTAACAGCATTGCCTGCTCTTCCAAAGATCCTGAGTTCAATTCCCAACAAACATATGGTAACTCACAACCATCCATAATGAAGTCTGGTGCACTCTTCTGGCCTGCAGGCATACATACAGGCAGAATACTGTATAAACTAACAAACTAACAAGCCGGGCAGTGATGATGGTGCAGGTACTCTGTGATTTTGAGGACAACCTGGGCTACAGAGTTAAGTACCAGGACAGGCTCCAAAGCTATACGGAGAAACTCTGTCTCCAAAAAAATCTAATTAATTAGTTAATTAATTAAAATATATAAAAATATTGACATATCCTCAAACTAGAAATCTGTGAATAAAGTTACCAACAATTTAGTATCTAGCAAATTTCTTGTGTTATTTTTTTAGTTTTGTTATTTATTTTATTTTAAAAAAAGAAAACAAACTATCTTTTTCATTTTACATAGCAATCCCAGTTCCCATCCCATCCCCTCCCTTTTCTCCCTTCCCCCATCCACTCCTCAGAGAGGGTAAGGCACATTGCTTTGGGGAAGGTCCTTTTTAATTCTGAGAAAAGATCTACTATTCACTGCACTTTATGTGCTTTGTCTGCATGCACACACATGGGCCACGATATCTCTGAGTTAGAGCAACGAATGGTTTTGAGTCCCATGTGGATGCTGGGTACCAAACCTGGGTCCTCTGGAAGGACCAGCAAGTACTCTTTACTGACCCAATCCTCCAGCCATATGTATACTTTTAAATATTTATTCCTACATTACTTATTGCTAAAGAAAATTACCTTATTCAACACTTTATCAATGACAAAAATGAGGCTACAGATATATAGTAAACATTGTGATGCTTGTAAGATACATGTAGTGTGTATACTCATGCAGACACTGATCTGCCCACACATGTAGTGTGTATACTCA